TTCAATATTGTGCCTTAACTGAGAGACCCAGAACTGCACACAGGACTCAAGGTGTGGCCTCACCAGCACCAAGTACTGGGGAAGAATCACCTCCCTGGTCCTGTTGACCACGCTGTTCTCGATCCAGGCCACGATGCCATTTGCCTTCTTGGCCAGCACACCACACTGCTGGCTCATGTTCAGCTTCCTGTCATTCTACTTCATAAATGGATTGGGTTTGCATTGCTGAAGCTTTCTTTTCTGCATCCCTTACCAACCAAGACAAATCTGTTTGTCTTTCCTGGTGAATAATTAAAATGCTGAGGAATGTCCTCCCTGCATTTTTGCAAGTTTCTGACTATTTTGTCTAGAATGGTGTTTGTTCTCTGCTGGCTCATGTTCAGCTTCCTGTCATTCTACTTCATAAATGGATTGGGTTTGCATTGCTGAAGCTTTCTTTTCTGCATCCCTTACCAACCAAGACAAATCTGTTTGTCTTTCCTGGTGAATAATTAAAATGCTGAGGAATGTCCTCCCTGCATTTTTGCAAGTTTCTGACTATTTTGTCTAGAATGGTGTTTGTTCTCATTTGTTACAACTAAACTTACTTAATATATAATGGGGAATGCAATCTATGATTTATGAACTGATCTGGCAAATGGAAATTAATAACATACAGTCTCATTAACTGATATCTCCCTAGTATGGATAAGAAAAAAAAATTTTTTTTAGTTCAGAAATGTTACTTAAATACTGGAAAACATTCTAAGAAAGTACTGCACTGCATCTGTGGGACCTCAGTGCCTGACACCTTCCACTCATAGGCTGCCATCATCTTTTGTGAGCCCACCCAACCCATGAGACTCTCCTCATGTGCATCTGATTTGGCTGTGATATTCAAGCAAAATCCTTTGCTTGTTTAGGCTTTCTGTCAACTGGTATTCCAACAAAACTTTTTCAGATGCAGACTCTAATTGAGCACCACACAAAGATTCTTGCCTGATTGACTCAGACCATGATTTGTACCCTCAGGAACTTCACAGATAAGGACACAGTGTTCTATCAATAGTCTAATACCACTTCCTGGCTTTAAGCTTGTTAAATTGCTTTTGTAGAATAGTAATTTTGAGATAAATCAAGGCAATCAAGTCTTAGATATAAGACAGTTAAGAAAAATAAGAATCCAGGCTTTCAGTAAACTTTCATTCATACATCTTTTTCCAGAAGAGAGAGCACAAGTTCAGGTCCCAAAGGCTCCACTTTGGCCAGCCAAAGTAAATAGAGTGTATTTTTCACTGGTAAAGCCTCCAATCAGTAGAAGCATCTCCAGAGCTCTCATCAGCTCTGCATTAGGCCTGGAGAGGGTAACAAGTACTTTGATTCATTTAAAAATTCAGTCATGTAATATTGGACTCTGTTCTTGCTAAGTGAATGCCAAGTCCCCATTGACCTCAGTGTGGACAGAAACAAATTCATTATTCATGTTTATCTGGGGAGAGCAGATTATTAAACAGATATGTACCTGTACTCTTGTCACGAAAACCTGACTCATAACCTTATAAATAACTTTTTTAAATAGGATATGACAAAAAAGCAAATGGCTTTGGAAAAAATCAATCTTCAGAAATGTCTGCTCTATTTTGAGAGTATTCATGGACAACCTGTAAGTATTCCATGGAAAGATAGGTAAATTAAAACTTATCTAACTTCTCTTAACAAATATTTTTGGACTCATATATTAAATATATTTAGTTGAATTTTGCACAAGTAATATAGTTATTTCAAACCAATTTTCAGGTATAAATGTTATTGCCTGATACTGATGGATTTGGTTTATATTTTATAAATTAAATTAAAACAAGAAGACAAGTTTCTAGTGGCTCTGTATCTCTCTTCATGATTGGAAATTGCAGGATTTGATGATAACACTGGAAGATTATATATCCACAGCAGACTTGGCTTATGCATACTTGGCTCTGACATGCTTAGAATGCTTAACAGATGAGACAGGTTTTATATAGGGCACCATCTGAGACATGAACTGCAAAATGACATGACCTCTCATCTGGGTTTTCCTTTACCACACAGCAGCACTTGAAACTATTAATTACAATCCTTTCAAGGGACTTCATTGCTGAATGTAGGTGCAAATCAAAAAATGCCACCATAGGAGAGATGAGGATTTGAAAACTTGTCTATATGCAGCTGAGGAATTTCTGTTTGATAGCTATGTCTGTATTCTTATGGTTGTTTCTGTTTCTGGCTGGAAATTGTTATAGAAGAGGAAAAGGGCAGTGGCACCAGCATGTGTCCAAAAATATGCCAGCTGTTACTCTGATCTGAATCTGAGCTCTCTGCATCTTGGATAAAGTAATTTTTGTTCATGTTCTTTGGGCTTGGAATGAGAGCTTGAGGGATGGAGAGAGTATACAGGAAGGGTATGAAGAAATTGTAATTCCTAAGGAGAACAAAAAAGAAATTATTGGTGCTATGCAGAGGTAAAAGACACTTGCTTCAACAATAGGAAAGAGAATAGTAGGGCATGCTTTGTAGCATGGGGTTCAGAGAGTGTGTTTCTCCTAAAGGTTGAAGCAGTTGTGTAACAACAGCCTTGAACCACAGCAGAGAGTGCTGGGGATGATGTTTGCCCTGCTGATGTATAGTATGGCTCAGCACCATCTTCATCAGGACTTACCTGAACAAGGTCAGATGGAGAGGGCACTGACTAGGGCTAAAACAAAAAAAAAAAATCATCTGTTCTGGCTTTTTTGGCATTTCTTGGACTGTGTTGCAGTCAAATGAAACATGATGACTGGGGAAGAGCAGTGGACTAGCTGGGATAGGCAAGCCCAGACATTGCACAGTGAAGTGTTGCCTCTAGAAACAGTTCCTAAATGCTCAATTGCCAGATGTACACAGTGTCATCACCCTGCATTTGTCTACTGTCACCCTTGCTCCTGTTGACCAGGCATTTGTCTGTTTCTGAGCAACTTGGCACTGTTTGTACTGCCAGCCAGTCTGTGTCTCTTCAGAACCACTGTGTGTTCACTCATCTGAGCAGGTGTACCTGAGCTCCACTGCAGTACCACAGCTGCAGTGCCAAAAATCAGTGAAATTGCACCCGATGGATGCTCATAGGCATGGGAGTTGGGGAGCAGAGGCTGATGGCTTGAAAATGTCCCCATTTTGATATTTAATCACTGAGGAACATGTTGGGTTTCTGGGGGGTTGGGAGGTGGGAGGTGTGTGTTTTGGTTGGTTGGTTGGTTGGCTTTTTTGTTTGTCTGTTTTTCCATGTGGAATTTGCTTTTTCCTTAATGCAGTAAGTCAGTCTACTGCACAGCTAGTTTCCACAAGGTTTATTATTCACAGAATCATCAAGGTTGGAGGAGACCTCTAACACTAACCAGTCCAACTGCTAACTTGCCATTCTGCTGTAACCCCTAAAGCCTAAACCATATCCTCCAGTGTCAGACCCAGCTGCCTCTTAAACACTTCCAGGGATAGTGACTCCAGCACCTCCCTGGGCAATCTATTCCAGTGTCCAAATACGCAAAAAGTGAAACATTTTTTTCCTAACATCTAATCTGAATTTCCCCTGTCTCAGTTTAAGGCCATTCCCTCCAGTTCTCTCACTGCAGGCCTGGCAGGAGAGACCTTCCCTCACTTCTCTACAATCCCCTTTCAGGTAGTTGTAGAGAGCCATGAGATCAACCCTGAGCCTCATCTTAAGGCTAAACAAACCCAACTTCCTTGACACTTCCTCATACAACATCTGTTCTAGACTTTATGACTCCTGTTGCCCTTTGCTGGACTCACTCCAGCGCCTCAATCTCCAGCTCCTCAATGTGCTTATTGAAGTGAGAGGCCCAAAACTGAACACAGTACTCGAGGTGTGGCCTCATCAATGCTGAGTACAGGAGGATGATCACTTCCCTAGTCCTGCTGGTCACACTATTCTTGATACAGGCCAAGATGCCATTGGCCTTCTTGGCCACCTGTGCCGATTGTTGGCACATTGAGCTGCTGTTACCAGCACCCCCAAGTCCTTTTCTGACAAACAACATTTGAGCCACTCTTCCTCCAGCTTGTGGCACTGCATGTAGTTCTTGTGTCCCAAGTGCAGGACTCAGCACTGAGCCTTATTGAACCTCATGCAGTTGTCCTCAGCCAAGTGGGTCCAGGTCTCCCTATAAAGTCTTCCTACCCTCAGGCAGATCCACACTCCCAGTCATTTTATTGGGTGGGAGTCTTTATTAATAAAATATTATTATATATTACAATATAATAATATATGTTGTTAGATAAAGTATTTATTAATACTTGATTAGTATTTGTGAATTTTTGTGGCTGGGTCAGGCTTTTAACACCTGATTTAAAATCACATTCTCTTCCAAATTAATGCTCCTAGTGCCCATAAAAGACCAAGAACAAACTAAATGAACAGATGGTTAATCCTGATTGTGGAAGGCAGTTCCAGCAAGGAATGCACACAGCAATTCTGCCCAGTCAGCTCCATGCAGAGGCTGTGAAGGTGTATTCTCAGTGCTCTTCATCTCACTGGCCCAACAAGTATGTTGTCCCAGTCAGACTGTCCCATTCTGGCAGCAAACCTGGTGCCATTATTACAGTCAAGAAGTCAGATACCAGTGCAAAGCCCAGCAGCAGCATATCTTCACCCTTGCTTCAGAAAGAGAATAATTTACCTTCTGCCTGGCCAGTGTGGCTCAAACCATAGTGAGTAATCTCAATTAGAAAACAGATTTGAATTTTCCTTTTCACAAATTGTATGGATTAAATTACAGTTCCCATGGAATATCTATGGAAGCAAAATACATATCTGATCACACTATTTTTTAATACCTTTCTCAGCTTTACAGCAGCAAATGAGAATCTTTTTTATTTACTTTTTATTTTTAATTTTGGAGGACTATATTTTGTTATGATTTCTCTTTAGGTAACTAAGCAAGACAAAAGTCTCATGAAACCTCTTTACGACAGATACAGAATTATCAAGAAACTTCTTGCAGCTCCATCTTTGATCACAACAATTGTAAGTTGGAAAGAATTCATATCCACTGTCAAGAAAACACAGAAAATGATGTGTTTGATTTGTACCTGTATGTCCATTTAGCAGCAATAGAACTACTGATAGTCAAAGAATCTGCTCATTGGTTAATAATACAGTGTAAAGCTTTGTACACACGCACATGGGTACTTTATTTAAAAATTTAACTGAAATTACCCCTTGTGCTACTTCTTAGGAGCTTTGCCCCCATGGAGTTTTTATGTTTAAGTTTTAGTTTCAATTGCTCAAGTTTTCTTCTGAGGACAAAGGAAAGTGGACAAGACAGGAATATCATTCTATTTTGGTAGTTAATATTTAAGGCTATAAAACTGTGGAATCTCTCTCTCCAGCTCTCGTTACAGTTGGAATTCCTGGACATAATGTGCTATAAAACTGTGGAATCTCAGCCCTTGTTACAGTCAGAATTTCTGGACATAATGCACACAGTAGATGGTATATAAGAGGACTACAAGATCCAGCCAGACCACACTGCTTACATAAATTCAGAATGTTCATTAAATCTTTGCTACATATAAGGGCTTTTGAGCAAACAGAAATAAATTGCTGGCTGGAGATAAGTCAGAAGCAGAGCCAATCTCTGTCGTGTTTGCTCATGGTGGGCAATACACAGTAACTCAGTGAGACCCATGAGTGCTTTCAGGAACAATCTTGGATAGTCCTGGGTAAAGCTTTCAATATGTGTCTTCTAGTTCAATGAATACATCCATTAAATTAGATCCTAGTATTTTATGTTGTCATCCTGTTGATGGTTAGTAAATAGCTAATTTAAAAATGCTTTACATTTCATAAGCAGGAGGAGGAAGACTCAGATGAAGACCATTCTCAAAGCAGCCATGAGTTATCATCTGGCCCAATGTCTTGCTTCCCTGTTGAAGAACACCTGTGTTACTCTCAGGAAGAGAGTGAGCCTGCATATGTTTCACCTCTGGATGAAAAGAAAGTTTACAGGCAAACAGCCTTGTCTATGTCCAATTTACATGAGGCAACAATGTAAGTTCTCTCTCTCTTTCCATGAATATTTTAAAATATTTCATGTAGTCTTTGTAAGTGAGGCATGAGCCCTACCTGTTGCATAGGAATATTCTATGCCAAAGGAGTGATTCAGTGTTTCCTTATGGGAGAAAAGAGGCAGAGGAGATTTGTTATTTGGGCAGTATACCTGTGGTTTGAACTATTTGTTCAAACAACTTTATGCCAAGTCCAAGAAGAGAAAGGTAAAGGCAGATAGGAAAAATAATGGCATCCAGGGAGTGGTACACATGACATAGTAAAGATATGCAGACATACCTTTAATTGCTGCAAAATTTTTGCTATGTAGCTAATGCTCCTTCAAAGCAATCATAAAACTGGGAAGATAGCCTGTTCCTCTGGGTGTGGGTGAGTGTACTGGGTCTGATTGTGTGAGTGATGTGGAAACACCACCAAGATAAGGCATGAAAACAGCAGCAGGTGAGCTGCATGAAAGGTCATGCAATACCTGGTCACACGGGAGGCCACTGCAAAATTTTTGCTATGTAGCTAATGCTCCTTCAAAGCAATCATAAAACTGGGAAGATAGCCTGTTCCTCTGGGTGTGGGTGAGTGTACTGGGTCTGATTGTGTGAGTGATGTGGAAACACCACCAAGATAAGGCATGAAAACAGCAGCAGGTGAGCTGCATGAAAGGTCATGCAATACCTGGTCACACGGGAGGCCACTGAATCATAGAATCACAGAATCAAATCAACCAGGTTGGAAGAGGCCTCCAAGATCAACGAGTCCAACTCTACCGTGGTTACTAGCCCATGGCACTAAGTGCCACATCTCATCTTGTAAACCTCCAGGGATGGTGAATCCATCACCTCCCTGGGCAGCACGTTACAATACCTGATCACTCTCTCTGGAAAAAATCTCTTCCTAATATCCAACCTAACCCTCCCCTGGCAGAGCTTGAGTCTGTGCCCTCTTGTCCTGCTGCTGGTTGCCTGGGAGAAGAGACCAACCCCCACCTGACTCCAACCTCCTGTCAGGGAGATGCAGAGGACGATAAAGTCTCCCCTGAGCCTCCTTTTCTCCAGGCTAAACAACCCCATGCATGTAAGACCAGTTTTTTCCTTGCATAAGCTTGGCTATTAGTGGTTGGCTGCCCAGGAAACTTACCACCACCCTCCACTATAAAAGCAAAATGAAGCCCTCCCTCCGATTTGTAGTTAAGAATTTTGGGTTGCATGAGACAACAAACCTCAAGATGAACATGTGCTGTTATCACTCAGTCCAGAAACTTGTTGCAGACTATGCCTTCCAGGAACAGAAATGTTCTTACAGCTTAGGGGATGGTATTTTTCCCTTGTGTTTTGTCTGGGAGCTCTTAGCTGCATAAATGAAGCTAACTAGGCTCTACCAAAATGAAGAGTAAATACAATTACTTGGATTTCTATGTAACTCAACTATGTGTGCAATAATTTGCTGATAAATACTGGGAAGATATTTCTGTGCATTTTGTTATTATGCAAAAGAAAAATAATTACCAGCTGTGTATGTCATTACAGAATTCTCTGCTGCTGTTCTCCGAATTGCAGCTAAAAGATAGCCTCCAAAAATGGTGCTTCTGGGTACCACTAGCATTTCCACTGCATCACAGTAACATTTGGAAATGGCTGCAAACAGGAGCAGGGCTTCAATGTTGACTTTAATTCAGTTACAGAGATGCAAAGCATTTCCTCCTCTGAGATGCTGAGCCTTGTCAACTCCATTATTTCCAGAGAGAATTAACGTCACTAGCAAGACTCAGTCCTGAATGCTTTTCCTCCCACATTGACCACAGGTAGTCTCTTCCTTCAGTTTATTAGAAGGGTGAGAATACTAATACAAGGGAAGGAGCACAACCATGTATCACATGTGATGGTACAGCCAGATGGCAAGGTGTCATACAATGTCTCAGGACCTGCTGTGGCCCATAGCAGCAGCCTTTTGGTTACTCAAAGCCATGGTTTTTAGCACCACTTCCATGCACAATGGGGTTTCATGCTCTTGTCTCTGTTTTACAGGCCTGTTCTGCTTGAACATCTCAGAGAAACAAGAGCAGATAAGAAAAGGCTTCGCAAAGCTCTGAGAGAGTTTGAGGAGCAATTCTACAAACAGACAGGAAGGTAACACATGATCTCAGCCAAAGCCCTTTCCTTTTCCCCTCTGGGTCCTATGCAGGTGCTTTTGTTTCTGCCAGGATGGGCATTCTGGGGTGAACAGGCCAAAGAAGCTGCAGTAGGGACTGGAAAATGTCATGGAGGTGCCTGATCTCTCTGGAGACCACAGAATCACAAAATATTTGGAGTGAGAAGGGACCCACAAGGATCATCAAGTCCAACTCCAGGTCCTGCACAGGACATCCCCAAGAATCACACCATGTGCCTGAGAGCACTGTCCAAACACTTCTTGAGCTCTGTCAGGATTGGAGCTGTGACCAGGTGTCATCCAGGAAATTTGGCTGAGTTCTGTACCACACAGGCTAAATCACAGAATCATAGAATCAACCGGGTTGGAAGAGACGTCAAAGATCATCAAGTCCAACCCTAACATCATCACTAGACTAGAGACCAGAGACTAGATCAGAGATGCTTAAAGAGATCCTTGGATTTTTCCTGGCTTGCCTGCCCTGCCTAAAGGGAAAATCAGGCTTATCACAAGCACATCTGGCTAGATGGGGTCCACATCTGTACCTGCAGCTGCAAGCTATGCTGTTCAGCCCCAGGTGCTGGCATGCAGCAGGTATCCAGCCAAGGCTGGAGGCTGAGTCCAGGGGAGAGCACTTTCCCCATCACCACACCAACCATCACTCCCCACAAGAGTGCAAGTGCAGGGAGAACCTTCTGCCTGCAAGGACTCATCTACTGACACAGTCCTTGTCATCACAGATACCAATTCACAAGCTGTGCCTGACACCAGTCACAGAACCATCCAGCTCTCAGCTCCTGTCCTACCTGTGGTGTTGGTTTCCCTTCACAGCCCATGTGAGAGACTCTTTTTCACTAGGAAATTTTACCTGCTCTCTACCACTTCATCCTCTCAGGAATCATCTATCTCCCTGACTAGTTCCTCTGGGATGTGGGCATCCCTGAGGACTGGATGGCCTGGATCTGGGGATCTTCCAGGACATGACTGCAGTGGGTATAAAACCCACCTCAGCACAGGATTTTCCTGAGCTGAAGGGAGGCTGCTAAAGACTCCTTCTGAGGCTCTCAGTCTGCAGAGATTACATTTGGCAGTTTGGACCATGTTTAAAATACTGGAATTTAAAGCAGAAGACACAGTTTCTTTCACCCATAATTAAATACTGGCTACTTTTCACTCTTTGTTTATCCTCCTCCCTTCATTTAGCAAACCTTTGTGTTGAAAACCATAGAAGATATGGGCATGTAGTATTCTGCTAATGGTTTTCAGAGCACTATGTTATAACTTTCCTGGCTATCTCAGAATTGAGTGATGATCCTTGAATAGCTGACAAGAAAAAAAATTGGCATATGAAAATTCAGTATTTTCAATAATATTGTTTCTGTCTATTAGAGCTTTTTGGTCCTGTCAAATGATCTTTAGTCAGTTAGAGTTAGGAAAAAAAATCCAATCCAATCCTCATTACTTGTTGCAGAATTAATTTTAAAGGCTGTTTCTTACTCATAAAAGTGATGTTACTTTTATTTGCTTTTCATAGGAGTCCTCAAAAAGAAGATCGGGTGCCAATGGCTGAGGAATACTCTGAATACAAGCACACAAAAGCCAAAATCAGGCTCCTGGAGGTTCTCATCAGTAAGCATGATATTTCCAAAACGATCTGAAGGGAATTCAATGCTGTGATATTGCTATCTAGCAAAAAAAAAAAAATCAAGCAAACAAGTAATGAAAAAGAGAAAGTAATTTTACAGGTCTTGGTCTGCTGCACAATTATTTGACACACTGAGATTTTTTTGATGCACTTTACCAATTACAATAGCTGGGATGAGAGAGGACAGCAATATGCAAGAATATTAAGCACGGGTGAGTGGACTATAGCATATATTTTTCCTTTTGAAAAGCCTTGAAGTGCACTGTGAGAATGTTAAGAAATTAAAAGGACACTGAAGTATTGTAGATCCTCAGTTTGACCTGCTTGAAAAGTGTGAGGAAATGCTCTCCAGGTTTTTGGTACATCTTAGTACATGATTATGTGCTACACATTCCTTTCCAGACTTAACATGCACTGAAATTAACTATTAATGTTGGCTCTCGATGTGCTGATTCACTAGATTAAAAGAAAGGAATTAAAATGAATGAAGGAAAAGGAACATACTCTAGCTTTCAAGACAGAGCTTCTGTTCAATACCAGTAGCTTCAAAAAAAAAGGTGCATACAAAGAAGCAGTGCCAGGACTGGGAGTAGAGCAAAGTGATGCTGCTTATGCCAGAAAAAAGGACAGAACATGACTGCGAAATGGAACTATTGGGATTTTTATAAATAAGAGAGTGTTTTTGGCAAAATGAACAAATACACAGCACTGGGAAGACAGAACAAATGTACTGGCTGCTGTGCTTTTTGCTGGTTCACAGGCCCTGGCTGACAGAACTTAAAATGCAGTAAATAGATCAACTCCGTGCTAGTTTTGATTTCTGTATTAAACTTTGCACTTTATTTTGCCTGATGCTATAACATTCGCTTTTCTAACTACCAAAGCTGGTTTAGAAGCATGCACTTTGTAAAATGTTGAAGTACTTCTTGTGTTATAAATTGCCACATATATATATATTCAACCAGGACTAGATTATTGCATTATGCTAAGATATTTTGGGTAGATATAGTACATGGTATTTAAGTGAGTGTCACAGTTATCTGATGAGGAACGCGAGACTTCCTGTTTACTGAAAATAAGATTATAAAAAGTTATTTTTCCATTGGGATTATGCATCTTTCTTAACTTTCAGAGCACCACACTTTGTAATATTAAGGAAAATTTTTCACTATTTGTGATAGACCATTTGGTTGGACTATTAACAGAAGGATTATCCACAGGTTTTGTGCTAGGGATCCTGGGAAATACCTAGCCCAGCCACAACAGAGGGAAGAATCAAAGGGGAAAAAAAAAAAAAGAGACTTGAGTAAGTTGAATCATGTTTAGTGTTTTGCTTTAACTGTCATTTTGTATTGACCACATAGTATAATTGATCTGTTTTCTATCTTGGTAAGATGATTTTGATTTTATAAAGACTATTATGTACCAACCATGTTTGTATTTCTCTTGTATGTAATGGCATGATTTGGAAGATACACACATCTTCAAGTAGTCCAGAGGAAAAAATATGAACACTAAAAAAGGAATTTTTTATTTTGCAGATGTTTGTTGTCTCAGTGTACTGACTTAATAATTTATAACTTAACTTTTATGAATCAGAAATGGTCTTCATAAATCTGTTTTAATTAAAGTCATCTAGAGCAACAGGAACAGATACAGAGCTATTTGAAGTTTACAAACTACATCTTTGATAAGGGAAAAATGATTTCATGACATATGTATACAATTGATATTAAAATGTAATCTATATATTCTATATGATTGTATAATATTTTATACAACAGTACAAATAAAATATTTTTCTATTATATTTATTATGTCGAGACACAGTTTCTGTTTTCAGTTAGCTAATATAAATAACATAAATAACACTGTCAAACAACACGTTGGAAGTGCTGACATTTCTAGGCTCTGAAATTCAAATCATGCTGCAATTAACAACCTTTCATGCTGTTCGGAGTTACCCCAGTACTTGTTCAGTAGTTAAAATGAATGCATATTTAAACACCATTTATAAGCTGTTATTTTCTTTTTGCTAAAGCAGTTTCTATAGGATTTTGTTATGTTTGGCAAGAAACAGAAAACAATTTTTGCAGCATCTAGGTATAAATGGTTGCCAGAAAGAAATCCAGGATTAACAACCTTTCATGCTGTTCGGAGTTACCCCAGTACTTGTTCAGTAGTTAAAATGAATGCATATTTAAACACCATTTATAAGCTGTTATTTTCTTTTTGCTAAAGCAGTTTCTATAGGATTTTGTTATGTTTGGCAAGAAACAGAAAACAATTTTTGCAGCATCTAGGTATAAATGGTTGCCAGAAAGAAATCCAGGTAATCTCTTAGCCACTCACCATGGGAACAGAGGGGAAAGAGGGAGAGAAGAAGTACTAAGAAGGCTATTGGAGATTTTGAAAACTCGTGTTTGCTTTTGGTGACAGCGGCATGTGCATGCTTCTGACAGGATGTCTGACTATGGAAATGGGCAACAGAGGTTTGAAGGCTCCTAAGTAACGAGGGAAGTTTTAACGTCCAACACTGATATTGCAGGTCTTGCAGCTGGGATCTTTCTTTGCATTTGCAGTAGACAAGCTCATTAGTTGGTGACCAGTAATTTCTGCAACTGTGCCGAGGGAGAGATCCACAGGATCAGTGTAAATTACTTCCAAAATAACATCCTGGGCGTGATGGTAAACCATGACTCCGTCTTCTTCATCGCAGGTCAGAAATTTATTATCTTTTATATTTAGCTGAGGAAGGCGCTGCTTACAGAACTCGTCTCCCGGTGATCCCACGGGGGCGATCACGAGAATGACGTAGTGGTAGGCTGTGTACATGCAGTAGAAGTCTCCAAAGTACAAGTTAGTATTGGGGTTGAAGAGTTTTTCAGCTGCAATCTCATACCTGTATCTTCCATAAGGTGAATCTTGTGGTGGCTTCCCAGTGTTAAACTCAGTGTTGCAGCTAAAGAAGATGCCTTCCAGCTTCCCACTGATCGGAGAGCCATGACTGCCACTGTTATCCTTAACAGAGGGCTGCATAGCATTCCCATGATGCTCTCTACAAATGAATGACTGGTATTGTTTATTTTGTAACACATGGTAAAGAAAAACTGGAAAGTTAGGATGTTATGCTGTTTGGAAACAGTACTGAAGGAACACAAAGGAAAACTGTTAAACTGAAAACTGTGGTTAGTGTCATGACCTTACTACCAAGAAAATCAAGAGATGATAGAATCATAAAATCATAGAATTTAAGGGTTGGAATGGACCTCACAGATCATCCAGTCCCAACCCCTGCCCTGGGCAGGGACATCTCCTCACTAGATCAGGTTGCTCAAGGCTCATCCAGCCTGGCCTTGAACACTGCCAGGGCTGGGGGAGCCACCACATCCCTGGGCAACCTGTGCCAGTGTCTCAACACCCTTAGTGTAAAAAACTTTTTTCTCACTTCCAACCTAGACTTTCCCTGTTCAGTTTGAGCCCATTACCCCTTGTCCTATCATTGCAATTCCTAACACAGAGTCCCTCTCCAGCTCCTTGTAGGCCCTTCAGATACTGAAAAGTTGCTCTGGGGTCTCCACACAGTCTTCTCCAGGCTGAACAGCCCCAATGTCAGACTTGGGATGAGCTAGAGTAACTCTTGCTTAAGGGGAAAATCTGCCTTTCCAGTCTGGCTTCTCTGTCAGCTTTGTGGATACTATGTGCAGGTGAAAACCAGCACAAACATAAAAGCCTCCAAATCACCAATATCTTTAATTGGCTGATTTGTTCAGTCTTCCACTACAATTCTAACAATAAACACAAGTGGAATATTGCAAGTCAGTCTCCATATGCTGAATATACTGTTATTGCGTATTTTTAGCATAGGCAGTATATAGTTCATGTAGAAAACTGCCAGTGAAAGTAATTTCTGAAAGATGTTTTTCAGAGAGGTTATAGGAAGTAATGCTCTGTCTGACATAGTCTTTTTTCCCCCCCAAATGATAATTTCAAGTCTAATTTGTCTACTGCTGACTTCAATTAGAGCAGAGCTGGGCACAGAGTATAACACCCACCTCTTTAGCACCTGAGATTTATGTACAGCAGGGCATTCCCCAGAACTTGTGCCCCACACCTCTCTGGAAGTGTCTCAGTGACAGCTTTGGCACCCTCTGTGCCTTGCACCATGTGATAACCAGAAGGGAAACATCCCCTTTTGTAAATCCTGCAAAACATCCTATTTGGTAGGCACCCTTAGGAAAATGCATTCATACTAACTGAAAGATTACAGATTAAAAATGCATGAGGCTGTGGGGCTGGAGAGCTTTATATCTCCCTCTTGCTTTGCTTTTAACTTTTAATTTTTTAGGAGAAGGGAAACTACCCAAGACAGACTGTTCTCTCTGCTTTTAACTTGCAAGAGCTCCAGGTAAAATGCTGCTGTGTGGGAGAAGGTTTTACTTGGTTAAAGAGGGAGGTAGCAGTCAAAGCAAACAAATTCAGTGTATACATACAAAACAGCTCTAAATCAACTCAGTAATGTCTCCAACTGTCTTTTTTTTCTCATTATTTTTAATCTCCTCAGCAGCACGTCTTAATTTGACTCTAAGATAAGTTTCAGAAGTTTTCTGGACCATTCAAATACTACTCAGTCATTCACCAGATATGCATTGGGGTTGGGGTATAGCTGGTATTTATGACTGAAGTGATTACTAGGGAGAAAAAAAATTAATCATCTTGAACCAGCGTGAATAATCACCTGAAACCTCTGCAACCTCAAAAGTCAGGCTTCAGTCTGTGAAAGTCAGTTCCTTATCTGTGGCAAGATACTGACATCCAGTGGCCAATTAGGCTAATTATAGGGAATCCGAGGTGCTTCATGATGCTCCCAGCCGAGGTAAGCAGCAGTGACACGAACACTACTTACGAGCTCACACTTCAAACCCTCCATTTAGGGGATGCTGCTTTAGCACTGTGACAGCTACTCGTTTGCAAATGCTAGTAGAGCTTTTTCAAGCCTGTTTACTAGTTATGACACCATAGAGGCCATTGGCAGGCACGGTATG